GAGGTGTACGTCAGAGCTGCAGCGCAGACGCAGCGTTTGGAAAATGCTGATGCGCGCGACATGTGGAGGGGCCTGCTTCAAGGGTCTCCCCAACGCACCAGGACAGGTGGAGCTTTCACTCACCATCATAAAAGTGGAAAGCAACACCAGTTTAATAAATGAAAAAAAAAAGAATCACCATGTTTCTCTCAGAATACACAGTTTATCTGACATAAAAGAGTAAAAGTTGCAAGAATTTAGGGGTTTAGATGTAACAACGTGCGTCACAGCAGGACGCAAAAGGTCCACGGCGCATGTTTTGCTGCTTAAATGGACACATTTAAGCACGAGACACACTTTGTGGTCTGTCCCAATAAGACACTCATTTTCACTTGTCCACACAGAGGCCTGCAGTAAACCTGGCCTTTCCAGGGGGGTCACAAGGCGCTGAAGGCACCGCCTCATCTCCAAGTGTCTGGTCACAGCGTTGCACCGACTAAAGGGTGGTGTGTGTGTGAGTGTGTGTGTGTGTGTGTGTGGGGGGTGTAAAAGAGAAACATTAAACGTCATGCAGTGGCGGTCAGAGAGTAAACAGTGTCGGGTTTGTAATCTCTTTTTAGGAAGGAAAATGGGGCTGTTGTGTCTTTAAGAGGGGCTGCTGCTGGTCCCTCATCCCAGCTGCCCGTCCGCGCGCGCGCGCTCGTGTCCATGTGTGTGTGCGTGCGTGTGCGTGTGCGTGCGTGTGTGACACAGAGGACAGCGGAGATTCATTACTTAAGCAGYACAATGGACATTTATCACCCCATGGTGTTATTCAAATTCAGTACCAAGGCAGCTCCTTCTCCAATCGTCGCGCGTCGCGTTTATTTGTCGGAGCTGCGCAGGAGGAGGAGGAGGAGGAGGAGGAGGAGGAGGAGAAGCCGGGAGGGCAGAGAGCCGCGCAGCCAGTCCGTCAGAGCCGAGGAGGGAAGGAAGGATGGAGAGGAGGCAAGGTCCAAAAGAGCCTGAAGCTCTTCGTTTATTTTATTTTATTTTTTAAAGTCGGCACCTGAAGCTGCTCTCGGGCGGCGGGTTGTGTTTGGATGATATGGAAACAAGGACGCACCGACAGGGGATTTTTAAAGGGTCTTTCCTTCCTTTTCTTTTCTTTTTTTTTTGTCTTTTTTTTTGTTTTCATCAGCAGCTTAAGACCACAGCCGCTCGACGTGCCTTCATTCACACAGGAGGGGGATTTTTCATTAATTTAACAACCGTGGAAAGCCATTGTGCCGCTTTAAGGCACCAGAACTGAGGACCACCCCCCACCACCACCACCCCCCAAATCGATGACACTATATGCAGGTGAAGAAATGGCGTTCTCAGCCTAAACTGCTGCTCTCATTTCGGACTTTAAGGTGACATGAACTAGATTAAAAAGCAAAAAGCAAAAAGGGAAACCAAAAGATGAGACTTTTCCAACGTCCTGCAGAGAAGATGCYTCAGGACAGAATGTGTCTTCTTCTAAACTCAGACAAGAAAATTTGTTTTTATTTTTATTTTTGTTTTGTTTTTGTAGATAACTTTCCTACTCGTGAAAAAAAAAGTGTTGAATACGCTGGAAGAAATAAAGCAACTTCCTAAGAAGGCAGTTTGTTTGTGCGTCAGAGGGGACTTGGAGGCAGCAGGTGCACCCAGCTGGACCAACTCGGATCTAAACATTTTTCTCCCGTCTCTGCAGAAGACACGAGCCTTTTGCGACTGATTGTCCAAACGCAATTCTTGAGTAAAAATCCGACTCAAACCCCCAAGAATTGTGTCTGGACATCTGTTGCTGCAGACTCACATTCATCACTGCTGCCGGGGGCCAAAAGGAAAAAAGAAAAAAAAAGAAAGAAAACAGCCTATAGGTCCCCAAAGAGAGAGGGATGAGGGGAGGCCTTTAGTTTGAACTTAGTGTTTCAGGTAAGATGTATTTTTTTGCAGGAGGAGCAGGATGGACCAATAAAGTGGAGGAAAGCTCGTTCTGCCTCAGATGTGTTTGTTTCCTCTCTGTCCAACTTCCAATCAGGACTGTTGGTTTGAAAAAGTAAATATCGACCGGATATCGATACATCCACTGCGTTTGTTGAATATATGTCTGCTGGGGAGAAAGTTCAGGGCTTAATGATGAGGCCTGCAGGATGGGCCTACACAGAGAGAGAGAGAGAGAGAGAGAGAGAGAGAGAGAGAGAGAGAGAGAGAGAGAGAG